AGCTTCCCGCCTCTTTCAGTTGTGAGTCGCGGCAGTTCCATGGTGTGTCTGTGATCTCGGTGACGGGCGGCCCCCGATCGTTTGTTGATATTGAGACTGAGTTCGGTAGGAAGAGACAGCGTAATCGACCTAATGAGATGGTGGAAATTTGGAAGCGGGTGAGGGGTGACATTTCTCAGAACAGATGCTGTATGCGGGATCGCTTTGAGGCCGGTGCGCCTGTCCCCTTGGAGAAGCGACGGAGGCTCCGGGCGGTCGTGCCTGAGGCGCTCGCGGCGCGCATTCGCAGCATATATGTGATGCTTGTTGGTTCTGAGCAATGGACTCTTGCGCGTGATGCGGAGATTGCGTGGGCTGGCTCCCGAAGGGCCAAGTGCATCACCCGCCGGAGAGGCCAACTGGTGGGCCAGGCGGGAACTACACTTGGGCGACGCTGTTTGAAGAGAAGCTGGAGAGGACAGATGGTGGGAACAGCCCTCCTGGGCTGAGCACGGTTGGCTTGCCTTTGTTTGTTCTGTGTTTGGCTTCTTGCAGATCTCAGAGTTGCTTCGTTACTGTGTTTTAAAAGAGCCGTGCTTTGCTAGGGGTGGATTTGATGAGGAGGGGAAGGCTAAATCAGAGGAAGCTGCCTGCAAGGAGGAGGAGGAGAGGATGGCGCTACGATTGGATCGCATTGAGCGTGATCAGACGGAGTGGGAGGTGGTGCCAGGATGTGTTGCGGTTGAACTCAAGGGAGACTGGATGACGGTTTGCCGTTCGGTTGAAGGCTCGTTTTATACATCTCGTATAACTTTTGCTCGCTGTGTGGCGGAGATTCAGGATACTTTGCTTTTTCCTTGTGTGAGTCAATCGACCTGATCCCGCAATGCCTTGGCCGTAATGTTCGTACATGGACTAATCGGGGGGACCTCGAGGGGGCGGATAAAATGACGTGGGAAGCGAGGGGGGGCGGGTCGGTGCAGCTTATGGTTCGACGAGACTTACCTTTCCAAGCTGAAAGCTACAAACACTTTGATCGGGGCCCTTCGTGGAAGTTCCGATGGGGGCCGATCTGAACATGGCGTTGGGGCCGGGTGGGTTCTTCATGCTTATGCAGTTGTTTCTATTTATCTTTGCTCTGGTTCCTCTTGTTCCATCTCTATTCGGAGACGTGTTGCCTCTCGATCTTTCTTGCTTTCTCCAACCAGTGCTATTGCGTGTGCTGAACTTTCGGCGTGCCAGCGTCTGCTGGCTGTGGGCATCTAGTGTACTTCGTGACTTGCGGGTTATAGGGCGTGATGCAGTGCCGGATCGCTTGTCTCGCCGCCCCCCCTCGTGCTCGAGGCTTGTACTCCTCCGTATTCAGTGCGCATATGTCTGCGTCTGCCACTTCCTCTTCGGGCCGTTGTTCCCTCCTCTCAGGTCCCATTGTCGTGGGCATTTGAGGCCAAAGCACTTCTCTGGCGACTGGCGACGTGTTCTCCCTACTGCAGACATCTCCGCTGTGGTGCAACCGTGTGTGCGCTCTTCCAGTGAAGTTTCAGGCGTGGGATTCGTCTTGTTGTCTGTGGTGTTCCGTCTCATCGTATAGTGTCCAATGCTTTGATGTTGATAAGGCGGCTGCGTTTTGGGCCTCGAACTAATATGACTGCTGGGTTGCGGATTGGTCTTCTCAATAGTCGGGTGGAGTGGTGCGAGGTGGAGAAGTCTTGTCGAATCGTTCATGCGTCCTCGCCTGTGCAGCGCCAGGGACACTCTCTTTCCGTGTGAGCCATTTTCAGGAGGTGCTTCGTGCTTCTCGCATTTCTGCGGTGCCATCTTGGTGCTCTTGACTGCTTGCGTGGGCGGCCTGGGAAACTCGGGGCGCAGATCCATCGCTTTAAAAGAGGGATCGCTGCTTCGGGAGCGCGGATCCATCGTTTTTGGCAAGGGGCAGCGGCCTCGGGAGGGGTGGTGGGGGGGTTGTGCACGGCCCATGCCGCTAGTAGGAGTATTTTTGCTCCGTTTGTAGAGTGTGGCAGCTTTGACATTCTAACGCGCCGCCATCGCGCAGGCACGGTCGCGCATGATGAATATGATTATCATCCAAAGGGCTTTGCCCTCTGCCGCCGCCTCCCCCCAGATTCTTTGCATGGCCACGCCTGGTTGGAAGGTTGGTGGATGTTCTTCCCGGTTGGCTTGTTGGCAATTCGGCTGACCGGCTTGGTGTCTACACTCTGAATCGGCAATTTATTTGGGCTGTTGTCTGTCTGGCTGGCTGGTGTCTCGCGCCTGTAGTACTGCGTGGCAGGCGCTGGCCTCGGGAACACGCTTCCGGAGCAAGCCGCGAGGCTTCGACGCCTCGGGAGGGCGCGCCCCTGGCTATGTGCGAGGCTTCGCGGCCTCGGGACCGAGCCGACTTCGCAGGAAACTACGCGCTGGGGGGGGGGATTGTTGATGACCCCATTTACCACCACCACTACCATGGGCAAAGGAGGGATGAGGCGGAGGAGGAGGAGGAGGAGGAGGATGAGGATGATGATGATGAGGAGGAGGAGGAGGAGGAGGAGGAGGAGGAGGAGGAGGAAGAGGAGGAGGAGGAGGAGGAGGACGAGGACGTCGTCCTCCTCTCCCCCGTCCTCCATGTGGTAGCGGTGGTGGAATCTTTGCCCACGAGTTGCTGTTCGGCTCCGGAGAGGGGGCACGGCGCTTCTGGGCAGAGGGTGCAAAAGGGACTCTGCGGCGTCTGGCTCCCGCGCCTCGCAATTTTTGAACACGAGGGGTGGTGGCTTGGGGAACGCGGATCCAGTGTTAAGTCGGGCCTGTCTCAGGAGGGGACAAAAACACACATACACAATTAATCATCGACTCCCAGAAAATATGGGAAAATATGGGAAGTGGGGGGGAAGACAAACACCCAGAAAATATTTGAAAATATGGGGAATATTTTTATTTGTGTGTATTCATTTGTGTGTCCCAGGGCCCCTTCACTGTCCCTCTACAGGAGGAAATTTCAGAAATAGTAAAACAATCGCTTGGGGACGATTTTGTTATTATTTGTTTGACCATTTCCGGGTCTTTTCAGGGTATTTTTGGTCATTCGCCCCAGATCCGCCTGTAGGGGGACAGGCCCGACCTAAATCTAGTATGATTGTCTCGGGATTGTGGCCTCTTGATCCCGAATACGGCGTACGTTACGAGGGGTTGTGACTTGAGGAGCGCGTGGGTTGGGGAGCGAAAGTCAGGCGTAATTCTCCAAATAGGCTTGCCCTATAGGAGTCCTAGCCCATCATGGGTAATTGGTCTTTACGACCCCCCCTTTTTCCAATGGTCCCCTCCTTTCTTCCAATGGCACTTGCTTGCTTGCTTTTGCTTGCTTGCTCTCGCTTGCTTGCTCTTGCTTGCCCTTGCTTGCTTGCACTTGATCGCTGGCTCTTGCTTGCTTGTTGTAACTCGCTTGCGCTTGCTTGCTTCCGCTTGATTGCTTGCGCTTGCTTGATTTTGTTCCTCCCGTTCTCCTCCCGTCCTGCTCCTGTCCTTCTTTCGTCCTCCTCCCATCCTCCTCACGTCCTCCTTCTGTCCTTTATCTATTTGGAATTTACGCTGGCTGATATTTTAGAACAGGGTAACTGTTAAAGCGAAAAAGCGGTTCTGGCGTTGGGAGCGCGGATCTGGTGTGTTTTGCCAGGGGTTGTGGCCTCGGGAGCGCGAATCTGGCGTAATTGTCATTGGATTGTGGCTTCGGGAGCGCGAATCTGGCGTACGTCACGAGTGATTGTGATTGTGGCCTCGGGAGCGCGAATCTGCGGTATTTTACGCGTCCCAGGGGGATCCATCTATATTCTGGGGATGGCATTCTGGCTTGGCTTCTTTTCGCCCCCCCCCCCCTCGTGCGGAGTTGAACCATTACAAGAGTGAAACTAGAACATATCATCCCTATACCTAGAACATCGTATTGGAACTGACGCAGGGAACTGGAACGCCTGCGCCTCGCAGCCTGATGGCCCCACAAAGGGGGCAGGCGGATGGTTCTTCTTCAGACGCTGGGTCTTGAGACACTTTTTCAGACGCCTACATTTTGCCCCTTTCCCGCCCTCCACGGTCCCGTCCCGAGGCGGCCCAGTGACGGACACAGCTTTGACGCCATAGACGGCGGCCCCGACACGGCCCAGGAGGGCCACGCGACGGCCCAAGAGGGCGCCAAGATGGCCCCAGAGAGCCCGCATGAGGGGTCCTTTATGGCCCAAGTTGTCCCCAAGACGGCCCCAGACGCCCCCAATACGGATCTGGAAGGCAGCAATATGGCCCAATAGGCCACAAGACGGTCCCAGAGGCCCCCGAGACCCCAAAAGGCCCCCCCCCCAGAGGATTCCCAAGTGGGCGCCCAACGGCGCAAATTGTTGCGTTTTTTAGCGTCTCGTTTTTCCTTTTCGGACTGCCCAAGGGGGGCCCGAGGGGCCTCCCAGGTCGCCCCAGGACGGCCCAGGAAACCACCAAGACGGCCCCAAGACGGTCCAAGAGGGCCACAAGACGGCCCAAGAGGGCCCAAAGGAGAGTCCAGGAAGGTCCCAAAACGACCCTAGAGGCCCCGAAGTCGCCCCACGACTGCCCAAGAGGGTCCCAAGATGCCCCCAAGTTGCCCCCGAGCGCCTCTCGAGAGGTCCCCGAGGAGGGCCCCAATGCGGCCCAGTGACGGACACAACTTTGACGCCAAGGTTCGCATCGTTCGTCGTCCAAGGGACTTCGCTGTTGGTGGTTTCAGTCACAGTCGCAGTCGTCGTCGCGTCGTCGTCGTCGTCGTCGTCGTCGTCGTCGCCTGCGCGTTCGCTCGGTGATCTTCATAGCTACTACTACCGCCATCGGTCATAAACATCGGCGCCGTCACCATCACCACGTCCTCGTCGCCACGCCCACTGCCGCCAGCAGTACGAAGCAACTGTCTCGGGGGAAGAGAACTATGCACATGCACCGATCCTGACAACGCCCACCCTCGACCCAGGATCGGTGCATACACCCTCCTGGCCAGGGTGAGAGGGCGTATGCACCGATCCTGGGCTCAGGATGGGCCTGGCCAGAATCGGTGTATGTGCACAGTTCTCTTTCCTCTAAAGGTGATCCTAGATTTTCGGTGTTGGTGGTAATGGTTCGGCCACCCTGGAAGCCAGAATATTACCACCATCACCGAAATCGGGATCTTCTTCCCTCGGTGGAGGCACGCCGCCGAAATTGGTGTTGGTGTTGGTGTTGCTGTCGCCACAGCCACTGCCGTCATCACTACGAAACACTCTCGGCTGCCCTCCTCCAGCGAGCACCATTCAGACCCTGCCCCCGGCCCCCCGCGGCTCCGCCCGCGGACCGCACCCCCGCCGCGATGCGCAAGACCGCCCTCATCACCGGCATCACGGGCCAGGACGGCTCATATCTGGCGGAGCTGCTCCTCAGCAAGGATTACTGCGTGCACGGCATCATCAGGCGCTCATCCTCGTTCAACACCGCCAGGATTGATCACATCTTCGACAAGGTCCAGCTCCACTACGGCGACCTCGTGGACAGCTCCAACATGGCCGCCATCGTCGCAAGGGTGAAGCCCGACGAGGTCTTCAATCTGGCGGCGCAGTCCCACGTGAAGGTGTCGTTCGAGGAGCCGGAGTACACCGCCCAGGCAGACGGCGTGGGCACGCTGAGGCTGCTGGAGGCCATCCGCACGGCGGGCCTGGAGAAGACCACGCGCTTCTACCAGGCCTCCACCTCTGAGCTGTACGGCATGGTGCAGGAGATTCCCCAGAAGGAGTCGACACCCTTCTACCCGCGTTCCCCGTACGCAGTGGCGAAGCTGTACGCGTACTGGATCGTGGTGAACTACCGCGAGGCGTACGGCATGTTTGCGCTCAACGGCATCCTCTTCAATCACGAGTCCCCGAGACGCGGCGGAACCTTTGTGACCAAGAAGGTCACGCACGACGTAGCGCTGATCGCCGCGGGCAAGAAGGATATGATCCCTACATCCTCTCCCCTCCTCCCTCTTCCCCCCTTCCCACCTCCGGCCTCCCTCCCTCCTCCCTCCACCTTTTGCTCCCTCCTGCTCCTTCTCCCCCTCCGTCTCCTCGTTGCACTCCTCCTCGTCCTCATCCCCCCGCGGCTCCTCCCTTCTCCCTCCTCCGCCCTCGTCGTGCTCCTTCCAGGAAAAGCTCATCCTAGGAAACATCGACTCCCTGCGCGACTGGGGCCACGCCCGGGACTACGTCAAGGGCATGTGGATGTTCTTGCAGCAGGCCCCCTCATCATCCCTCCCGCGCATGCTGCTCCTCCTTCTCCCTCTTCTTCCCGGCCTCCTCCGCCACCTCGTCCACCTCCGCCTCTCCCTCTCCCTCCGACCTTTGCCTCCTTTTCCTCTTTGTCCGAACCCGCCTCGCCCTGCCGCCCTCCCTTGGCAAGGAGAAGCCTGTCGACTACGTGCTTGCCACGGGCAAGCAGTACAGCGTCCGCGATTTGGTGACACTGTGTTTCGAGATGGTGGAGAAGCCCATCACCTGGCGTGGCGAGGGCCTCTCGGAGGAGGGAATCGACGCGAAGTCGGGGCAGGTGAAAGTTCAGATCTCGCCGAGGTACTTCCGGCCCACGGAGGTGGACACGCTGCTGGGTGATCCCTCCAAGGCCAAGAAGGAGGTGGGTTGGGAGCCCGAGTGCTCCTTCAAGGAGCTGGTCTACGAGATGATGGAGTACGACATGAAGTCCTGCGGCTTGCCGCTGCCCAGCAGCGCGGCAGAGGTCGTGAAGAGGCAGGACAAGTGGTCGTGGTGAGACTCTGGGCAGACGCGGCCTCGCACTACGGCTATCCTGAGTCAGAGAAAAAGGCACGATTCTTGCTACAGGAACCGTGGGTGCAGAGAGCTCGTGCGAGTTCCTCTGTCGGAGCAGCGTTCCCGCCACTGGGCAGCCCTCCTTTTTTCTGTTGTCCTATGCTGGCCGAGCTGCGGCCGCCTGCCACGCCGCACGCTGGCGTGATCGCTCGCTCGCTCTCTGGCCATGCACCTGGCAGCCCAGAGTTACGAGTCGGCCGACAGTCTGAACATGGTTTTCCGCAGCCAGATTATTTTCCCGGCGGAGCTGAGGCTCCCCATCGGCGCACGCTGTTGCGAACCCTTTGCAGGCACGTTAGCGACGGGCCTGATAAGCCAGACCTCATTCCCATCTCGAATCCTCTCCCTCCCCTCTCCTTCCCTTGCTTTCCCTCACTCTCGATGCGTTCTCTTCCAGTGGCGCTTCCGCCTCAGCGCTGGCCACCTTGTCGGTGTGCTCGGGGTATCAGAGGTCATCAACAATTCTCACGATCCGCACGTGCAGTGAGTGTTAGTTCTCTCGTGACGCCGGCCACGTTCTCTTGGCCTCTTTTCGACGTTGGCCGCCCTTTCCGACTGCACGGGGGTGTTTTTGTGTGATCATGCTTCATCCCGCCTCCTGTCATGAGTTGTGCTTTGTCAAGTATGTGCGACATCGGACTATCAGAAATATATTTGAGGGACTGGGGTGGCGTCGGATCAATCTCACTGCCGAGTGCGAGCCACACTTTGCCCAGATCTGTAGATCTGTCTTGGGAGCTGATGGGCCCGCGCTAGCCGCCAGGGGGAAGCCAACCACGAGAGGGAGGGCTGGGGAGAGGAGGGGTGGGAGGACCCGTGGGGAAGGTCAGGGGAGGGTCAAGTTCCCAACGGCAACGCCGCAGACCGTTTCGCTCCCTTCCACCCGCCGCCACCCCACAGAAGTGGCACCCCACATTCGGCGCAGGCGCTGGCTACCGTCCGACGGAGATCCATCCAGGGGCTGGCACAGATCGCCGTGCGCGCCCAGTCTCGCGAGGGGCACCGCGCGCGCCAGGTGCGCCACGCGCGCCAGGTGCGCCAGGTGCCCTGGTGTTCCAGCGCGTGCCAGGCGCGCCCGGTGCGCCAGGTGGGTGCGCCCCGTGAGCCAGGCGTGCCAGGCGTGCCAGGTGCGCCGTGCGCGCAGCGCGCGACTGGTGCGCCGGCTGCACGAGTGCTCGTGGTGGCGCTCATCGGGCACGTTGTCGACACTCCCATCGCCCCTGTCGGCAAGAGCACGCAGTGTGGCGGTGAGGTGGCAAGTCTGTTGTATGGTGTGTTCGCCTCGATCAGGTCACAGGGATTTTCCCAGGGTTGGTCGGCCACCGCGCGGCGAGTAACACGACCGCCCCACACCACTCCAGCCGAACAAGCGTTGCAACACGATGATTCGGCGCCTGCGTGTGGTCCAGTGTTTACTGCAATGCGCACTTTGTACCCTTTTCCGACAAGGATGGCGGCGGCGGCCAATCGAGCGGGGGAGGTGTTCTGTATAAAGATGTAGCAGCGATAGATAGGGAGGTGAGAGGAGGGATGGGATGGGGAGTGGAGTGGAGGGAGTGGAGACGAGGGAGGGGGGGAATGGAGGAAGGGAGGGAGGGGGTGGAGGTAAGTGAGGATAATATCCATGGCAATGGCAATCGGAATGATCATACGTATCATAATGAGATGAAGAAGTGAATAAGAGGCCGCAGAGGTCGAGGCCGAAATGGCGGCGGGCAGGAAGCAGGATAATTATGGTTTAATGACCAGGAGGTTACTGCAGCAGGAATAAGATCGAGTTCAACATCCTCTCTAGTTCAGTGCCCAGTTTGACTTGGCGCGGGGTTTGAACGCCGTTCCTTGTCCGCAGGGCCGTCTTCCCTTTCTTTCGTCTTTTGTCTTCTCTGTCCTCCTCGACCTGCTCCTCCCTTCTCTCTCTTGAAGGCATCTTTGATGCGTCTTTACGGCCTTTTTGGAGCATGCTGGGGGGTCGTTGAGGGCTCGTCGGGGCCGTCTTCGGCGCCATGGTTCTACCGAGTTCTCCCGAAAAGCCTCGGTCTGACCATCTTGAGAACGTTTGGGCGGGTCTTGAGTCCGTGTTGGAACGTCTTCGGGGCACTCTTGGACCGTCTCGAGGTGTTCTCCAGTCATCCTAGGCTTGTCCTCAGGCTCTCTTGTGGCCTTCTTGTCATGTTGGGGGGCTTCCTGTGGCTTTCTGAGGGCTTCTCGAGGCAATCTTAGGCCAATTGGCGCTTCGATGAGTTGGCGCTTCAGTGAGTTTCGGCTCTTCGGCCTCGCTGGAGGTTTCGTTGAGCGTCGTTTTCGAAGCTTCTGGCGACTTCTTGAGGCACATTGGTGGAGATTTTGGAGCCTATTGGGGCTCGTCGGGCTGCCTTGGGATCGCACTGGGGCGTCCTGCAGCGGTTTCTGAGCGGTGTTTCGGGCCGTCTTAGGGCCGTCGTGAGGTGGGACAATCGGCAGGGAACACGTCTACGCTTCCGCTTACGAGTAAGACACCTTCCCCCGAAAAGCTGGCCCAGTGTTTCTTAACCAACTTGCTGGAAAGCTGGCTCAGTTTCTTAAGGGGATTGGTAGCCTTGGATCCTAGAACTGAATCGTGTACGTTCCTGGCTCTACTGGCCCAGCGTTTCCTCAGCAAACTTCTGAAAAGCTGGCCCAGCTTTCTTTGTTGATAATTTTCTCGATCGTATTTTTGACTTTAGTGGGCATCACCCCCAACCCGATCAGCAATCCTAAGTCGGACACGCCCCAACGTGCCGCTGGTACAGTGGTGAACGAGGATGGGCGCGGCGTGATGCAGCTTGACGACATCTTTCCCGGAGGAGCGGCGGCATGGAGTGTATGCAGGGGTGGATCAAACGGAGGGAGAGTGACATGACAAACGACCCGTTTTGATCGTAGCAGCTTTGATAGCATGGTCACCGCATTTAGCCAGTTGCAGTGCTCCTGCGTTTTTTCTACATATACACATATGTATATGTATATACGTATGTATCTATTGAAGCAGTCTGTTTTTCGTGATCTCCTCATGGGCGCCTCGAAATATCCCCCTTACCCAGAGTTTCATCATGCGGGGCTGTACGGGGAGACGAGGAGGTGACATGAGGAAGAGAATGGGTAGGAGGAGGGAGGGGGAGAAAGGAGAGGAGTCCTCCTTTGGACTCCTTCTTCTCCGTTCTCTCTTCTCCTCCTTCCTCTCTTTTATCCGAGGCCGAGTCCGCTGGCCGCGCTGGGCTGCGCTTCGGTGTCCAGGGTCCTTTTCCCCTCCCCTTCCGCCTCTCCCTCACCATCACCTGTGCTCCGTATTGAAGAGCACCCCCTCTCTCACCCAGGTGGCCGCTGACCAGGCTCAGCGAGCACCTTCCCGCCGCCTTGCCCAAGAGTGACGTCCGAATTGCAGGTGGGCCCCACACAGTACAAGGTGCGGGCGCCCCGCCATCACTTCGCATTAGTTCTTGACAGGGACGGCCGGTGTGCCCACATATTTTGTCCGGTTGATTCAGACCCAGCATTGCCCCCAGGTCATACATGTTTGCCAGCGTGGACCCCACTTTTTTGGTCTGCGGGTCGAGAGCGAGCCTCTTCCGGTGAAGAGCTAGGCGGGCCGCGCAAAGCATTAATTGGGGAGACAGGGCGCGGGGGCCTCAGGCGGCCGGAGGGCGCGGGGTGCAGGCGGTGCTGAAGAGCTTGCGCAGGAAAAGGTACACCTCGGACAGGAGCGGCGTGGACCCCACACGCTGCGTCAATGAAGTTGGATGCGTGAAATCCGCGGTGCAAGCTCAGTGGTGCGATCTACGTGGTGCAAGTCATGCGTTGCAAGCTATATGCGCGGTGCAGCACATGAGGTGCATGCCGTGAAGGGCAAGGTGTATGGTGCAAGCTAGAACACATGCAGATTCTTGGTGCCGCACATGTCTGAGGTGGGCTATGTGGTGCAATCTATGCGGTGGAAGCTGCAGGGTGCAATGTGCAGCGGGACCCACGAGGGTGCCCACAGGCGCCCACCATGCGAGACCACATCGGACCTGGCCCGCGCACGGGGCGCCCAGGAGGCGCCCGCGTGGCGAAGCCTCAGCGGACCCAGACGTCGCACGGGACGCCCGCGAGCCGGCCACGGGCGCACACCGTGCGAATTTTCGGCGGACCCAGCCAGTGCACGGGCCGCCCACCGACGACCGACGACCGACGCCGGACGACCCACGACCGACAGGCGACGAACGACGACTGACGACGACAAGCGACAGCGACGACCGTCGACGACGGCGAGTACGACGACGACGAGGACCGACGACCGACGACCGACGGCCGATGACGACGACGACGTTGAATATTACGGCGACGACGATGACAACGAGGTCGACGACGACCGACGACCGGCGACCGACCATGTACGACCGACGACCGACGACCGACGACCGACGACCGACGACGACGACCGACGACAGACGACCGTCGACCGACGAGCGACGAACGACGACGACCACGACGACGAAGATAATGACGACGACGAGGACGACGACTGACGACGGACGACCGACCGACGACCGACGACCGACGACCGACGACCAACGACCGACGACCGAGGACGGAGGACCGACGACCGACGACCAACGACCGACGACCGACGACCGACGGCCGACGACGACGCAGACGACGACGATGAGGAGAACGACGGACGACGGACGACAGACGACCGACGACCGGTGACCGACGTCCGACGACGGCGACCGACGACCGACAACCGACGACCTGACGATAGACGACCGACGACGTCGAAAATAGCGAACGACGAGGACGACGACGACGGACGGCGTACGACCGACGACCGACGACCGAGGACGACGACGGACGACCGACGACCGACGACCGATGAATGATGACTGATGGCGGACGGCTGACGGCGGACGACGGACGACCGACGACGACGACGACGACGATCGAAAATTCAGGACCAACGACCGACGACCGACGACCGACGGCGACGAAGATGACGACGACGTCGACGACGACGATGACGACAATGACGGACGACGGACGACGGACGACGACCGACAACCGACGACCGACGACTGACGACGGCGAGGACGATGACCGTTCTGGCACAAGCTCGCTCCCGCAGTAGCCCGCTCCCGCATGAACCCGATCAGGCAGAGACTGCCCTGGCAGAGATCTGGCAGAAGCCCGCCCGCCAGCTTTGACGTCTCGCCCGCCCAACTCGCCCGCTGTCCGCCCGCAAGGCCCGCCCGTCATGGTCCGCTCGCCCACCCGCCCGTTGGAGACTTCCCAGCCCGCCCGTGCCCGGTTGACGCGTTGCCCGCCCGCGTGAATATTCCGACCGCCCGACCTGGCCCGCTATTAATAGGTGTTCGGGTCCACCCGCCCGACATGCCTGTCAGGGTGTGCTCGCCCGTCCCGCCCGTCAGGGACTGCCCCGCCCAGGTTTCTTTTGGAGGCAGATTTGCTCAGCCCGCTGAGGCAGATTTGCGTATTTGAGGCAGATTGATCGGCTCGGCAGCATCGGAATGGCTTGCGGTTGGCGTGTGCTTTCAGCCGCTTGCGGGGCAATCGCGGCAGTCACTTGCCTTCACAGTGGCACCTTTGTGCCAGGGCCCGAGCGCGATCGCGTCGAGTCGCTTGCTGCAGCCTCCGCTGCCGCGGCGCTCAGCCTTCCCGTGCTGGCGGATGAAATCGGCGAATGCTGCGAACAAGCTCTGCGTCGACTCGCGCGCCTCCGCCAAGGAGGCTCCTGGGAAGTTCCAGCCTCTCGAGGCCTTGAACGCCATCGACGTCTGATCGTGATGGGCGCCCAGGCAGACCCGAAGCGCTTGGAGGCGGCGACGGAGGCCCACCACAAGGCCGTCGGCAGCATCAGCGGCGCGAGCGGCGTGACCTCGCTGGCCGATGTGATGCCTTGAATCCGGCGGTCGGCCGCGTTATCGCCTCCGTGCCAGAGTCCACGAGTATGTGTGTCTACAAGCCTGTTTTGGCCATTTTGGACTCGGGGGTCCCTGCGTGCGTGATGATTTTGGTGAGCGGTGCCGATGCCGAGAAGGCGTATTCGGTCTTCATGACCTTTAAGGACGTGGTGAAGATGGACCAGGTGTCTTCGCCTGGACCCGCTGCTGCGGCGCCCTCGAGCGACAGCGTCGGCGCAGCAGGTAAGAAACTTTCGCACGCGTCCTACCCGTTCCTGAAGCCCATGGATTTGACATCGGGCATCTGCCAGAAGCTTCTCCCCAGCGTCTCGGCGAAGGATGCCCTGAAGGCCGCCGGCAAGGCGATCGTCGTGGGCGCCGCGGCGGACGGGGGCGCGCTGAGGGCGGCGGCGGAGGCGCGCCGCAAGGCCAGCGGCGGCATCGACGCCAAGGGCGTGACCTCTGCCGCCGGCTACGAGGCCGTGAGCGCAACGCTCGTCCGCGTGGTCGTTTCGGTGCCGACCCCGACAGTCATGGGCGTCTACAGCGCTTTTGCCAAGTTCGTCCCCGGGACAGTGTCCGACAATATGTTCTCCTCGGTGGAACCTCAGGCGGCGAATGCCGCTACCAAGGCGTTCTGCTGCGAGTTCAACGACGTGGTGAAGGCAGCCCGCTGAGCAGGGCCCCCGGGGCGAAGGCCGATGAGCTGCCGGGTCAGCGTCCACGTCGAAGCGTGAACGTGCACGTGGCTTTTCGTGCACTGGTGCGATTTTGCCAAAAGGGCCCGCGGGAGCTCCCCGTGCTTGGGCATGTACAGAGCGCGCGCCCCATAAGGTGTGGTGGATGCGGCGGAAGAAAGGCTTGACCTGACCCAGAGCACGCTTCCGGGCGAACGGGCTTAAAGGCGAGCGGTCCCCGGGCGAGCGGTCTCGCGGCGAGCGGGCTTCAGGCGAGCGGTCTCTTGGCGCGCGGGTCTCGGGCGAGCGGTCTACTTCTGGGCGAGCGGTCGTCCAGTCGAGCGGTCCTGTGCAGTTCACGCTCCTGCTCATTCTCCTGCTACTCCTGCTCCCTCGGTCCCTTCCTCATCCCTTCTCTCTCTTTCTCTCTCTCCCCCCCTCTCACCCTCCTTTTTCCCCGGTTTACTGGCCTCGTGGATCTTCCTGTCTATCTGCTGTACGCCCCCCCGAGCTTGGGGGTCGGGACCTGGCCTGGTGCCGACCCTCCAAGCCGGGGCCTGGAAGTCGGCCGACCCCCGACAGGAACATGATCATGATGATCATCTCCCTTGCCATCCCGTGACACTGCCTATCTACAAGAGGCTCTTACAAGTCGTCCGCCAAAAAGTGGTGGCTTTCTACAACCCGCGATCCTCATTTCAGACCATTCACTCACGGCCTGCGGCACGGTGGTCAAATTAGTCTTTGGGGTTCGCTAGAGTTTCAAACAAGGCTCGGGTCATGGCATTGCCAATATCAGGCATGAGCCTGATTGACTTCCAGCCATGGGGCGCCACTTGTGGGAGGGACCACGTGGGCGACTTCCCCATTGAATTCGAAAGAGCTCGGCGCGAACCTCTTCGCACTCGCAGGCCAGAGCGATCGGGGCACCCTTTCACCAGATTTCGCTGCTCCTGCTGCACCTTCCCTCCTTTTTCCCTGCTCCCTTCTCTCCCTCCGACTCTCTTCTTCCCTCCCTCTTCACCCTCCCGTTCTCTCGTTGCTTCAGCTCTTGCCAAAGCTCCCGCCACTGCTGCTGTCCCTGTTTCGCTTCCGCTCTGTTCCTCCTTCATTTCCTCCTCCTCTTCCTCTTCCTCTTCTCTTTCTCCTTCTCCTCCTCCTCCTCCACCTCCTCTTCCTCCTCATCTTCCTCCTCCCTTCTTTCTCCTTTTTTCCGACCATCCTGTGGTGTGGGGTCCTCGTTTTAAAGAGACGGTGCCCCGCGTGTCCTTCCTCCTCTCCTCCTCCTCCTCCGTCCTCCCCCTCCTTGCCTTTGTTCTCCGCGTGTCTCTGTCTCGGCACGCCCCTTACACTTTCGTGGCCCCATAAAAAAAGGGGGTTCCACCTAAGGTTCCACTGGCGCAGCCCGCATGGCGGCGCCTCCCCATTTTGACACACCCCTCACACGTTTCGTGGCCCCATAGGGAGCTCCACCTGAAATCCCAGTGGCGCAGCCCGCATGGCGGCGCCGCCTCATTTTGGCACACCCCTTACACGTTTCGTGGCCCCATAGGGAGTCCCATCTAGGGTCCCAGTGGCGCAGCCCGCATGGCGGCGCCGCCCCATTTTGGCACACCCCTCACACCTTTTGTGGCCCCATAGGGAGCTTCATCTAAGGCCCCAGCGGCGCTGCCCGCATGGCGGCGCCGCCCTATTTGGGCACGCCCCTCACGCGTTTCGTGGCCCCTCACACGTTTTGGAAACCTTCTCTTCGTCTCGTGGACTCTCGCCCTGGGCCATCGGCTGTCCAGCGCGCTGCCCCCTCGGCCGACGTCGCCCAGGCGTGATCCTGGACTGCGGCCGCCACGAGGTGGGGAACGGCAGGCGGGAAGACGACGACTGGCGGGTGGAGGTCTTCGCGCTGCTCTCGCGCGCCACGCGCCACGAGGACCTCCTCCTCACGCGGGCGCCGCGCATCGAGTTCTTCCCGGCAGGGCCGCCAGAGGGATTACGGAAGCAGCTGGAGCAGTTTGCTACGCGCACGAAGCGGCGCAGGAGGGAGGCGACGGCCCTCGCCAGGGAGCTGGACTTCACCGAGTTTATCTGCGAGGCTTGACTTGAAAAGCGACCCGCCCGAGCCTCGCGGTCTCTCGACGGTCTGACTGTTTGGCTTCGCGCCGCGGGCAACCCGCGCGCATCGCTGGGGCCCTCTGGAGGCGACCAGCGCGCGTCGCGTGAAGTCCGGGCTGCGCTCTGCCCAGAGCCTCGCTCGCCCCCGTCGTCTCTCTGCCTGGCGGCCGCAGCTTTGCCCGCTATCAGCCAGCCAGTTCTCTCTGCTCCGCGCAGCGGACCACCCGCGCGCGTCGCCGGGGCCCCTTTGGGGCGACCGGCGCGCGTCGCGGGGGCCCCGCGTGGCGCCGCGCCCGCAGCCTCGGACATGGGCGCGCGCGGGCAAAGAGAGAGAAAAAGAACGGGGATGAAGCGGGCGCGATCCTCGGGAGGGGCGCGCCGACATGGGCGTCGACGTTTATGCGCGTGGATTGATTCGCACGCAGAGTCATTCACAATCAGACTCACTCGCGCTCAGTCTCTCGCGCGCAGACCTATCGTCTTCGCTCGCGTCGCGTGCCCCGCCGTGCATCTCGGCGCGCCCCTCGCGCGGTTCGTGGCCCCATAAGGAGCGCGGGCAAATTTGATATTCAGAATTGCGGTATTCACAACTGCGCATGGTTGGGTCCTTCGCCAGGATAATTTTATTATCTCTTTCCCCCTCGGTTCCTCGATTTCTTGTCCGTGGCGCCCGCGCGCGCCCCCCCTTGGAGCGCGACAGGGCCGCGCTTGGCGCAGGCCGGAGCCTCGTATGCGCCATCCGCTGCCAAGCGTTAGCCGCCCAGCTTACGTATACTTGGTGCAGGCTGCTTTCGCTTCCGGACCAAGGGGGGCCATAAACGCCGTTTGCCCCGTCGTAGGGGCCTTGGCGCTGATGAGCGTCTGCAGGTCGATTTGTGATTTGAAGGTCGCTTGCGCGCAGGCACCACGTGGGAGACGTCTCCTCTTTCGAGGTCCGCCCGCACGCAAGCAGCGTGTGGGAGAGTCCCTCTTCTCCTCCTCCTCTTCCTCCTCCTCCTCCTCCGCCTCCTCCTCCTTCTCCCCTTCCACCGATTTCAAGTTCCTTCTTCTTGCTCCATCTGTTTCCTGGTTCGTGGTGGCTGCAGGGGCCTCTGGATGTAGCCTCTTTCCCAGGGCCGATCGGTTCTGAGGCAATGATCGAACTGGGGCCAGGCTGCCCTTAGAGCACCGCTCCAAGGGCCACCGGCCTCCTCGTCTTCTTCCTTCTCCTCCTCCTCCTCCTCCTCCTCTTCCTCCTCCTCCCCTCCTCCTCCTCCTCCTCCTCCTCCTCCTCCTCCTCCTCCTCCTCCTCCTCCTCCTCCCCCTCTTCCTCCTCATCCTCGTCGTCGTCCTCCTCCTCCTCCTCCTCCTTCCTCCTCGTTCTTGTCCTCTTTTCGCCTCCGCGTGCTTCGCCGCGGGCGAAGGCCCGTCTGGGTCGAGGATGCGGCCCCTCGTCCTCCTCCTCGTCCTGATCTTCCCCCTTGTCCTTGCCGCCGTCGCAGCTCGGCTCGGGCCTTCGGGGTCGGGCCGGGCGCACGCGCCATCCTGTGTGGTGCTCCGTCACGGAGGCGCCTCCGGCGCTTTTTCCTGCCGCCCTCCCTTCGCTGCGGTGAGGAAAGGGAGGAGGAGAAGGAGAAGGAGGAAGAGGGGGAGGAGGAGGAGGAGGAGGAGGAGGAGGACGAGGACGAGGAGGAGGAGGAGGAGGAGGCGGAGGAGGAGGTGGAGGAGGAGGCGGAGGAGGAGGAGGAGGCGGAGGAGGAGGCGAGGATGAGGCGGAGGAGGAGGCGGAGGAGGAGGCGGAGGAGGTGGAGGAGGAGGAATAGGAGGAGGAGGAGGAGGAGGAGGAGGAGGAGGAGGAGGAGGAGGAGGAGGAGGAGGAGGAGGAGGAGGAGGAGGAGGAGGAGGAGGAGGAGGAGGAGGAGGAGGAGGAGGAGGAGGCGGAGGAGGAGGAGGAGGAGGAGGAGGAGGAGGAGGAGGAGGAGTAGGAGGAGGAGGAGGAGGAGGAGGAGGAGGAGGAGGAGGAGGAGGAGGAGGAGGAGGAGGAGGAGGAGGAGGAGGAGGAGGAGGGAGGAGGAGGAGGGAGGAGGAGGATGTGGGGGAGGGGGAGGGGAGGAGGAGGGGAAGGAGGGGAAGGCGGAGGAGGAGGACAGGAGGACATCCGCATAAGGGGGTCAACGTCAACACCTACGATGGTGGTGAGGAGGAGGAGGTGGAGGGGGAAGGGGAAGGAGGAGGGGGAGGAGGGGGAGGAGGAGGAGGAGGAGGAGAGGAGGAGGAGGCGGAGGAGGAGGAGGAGGAGGAGGAGGAGGAGGAGGAGGAGGAGTAGCAGGAGGAGGACGAGGAGGAGGCTGAGGAGGAGGAGGACGAGGAGGAGGAGGAGGAGGACGAGGACCAGGACGTGGACGCGGATCAAAACAGGGCCGGGACACGCTCCCTGATCTCCCCCCTTGGCCCACGACATTTTTGACCCTTCCAGAGCCTCCCGACTTGATAGAGCAGTGAACGTAAGGGAGTCGAGCTCAGAGGCATGTGCAACGCTCCGTAGCCATTGCGGCGAAAGCTGCGCAGTTGATATCAAACTCTAGTTATTGCAAGCAATAACAGTATGATCATAAACATCTAACTCATAAACACTTATGTGTCATCAAAATATCTTTGCTGGTGATTGTTTAACTATGTTGAGTTGATATACGTCTTCGCCAGACGCGTGGAGGTAGCAAGGTTGCCATCGTCAACTCTGGCTGTCAGCAGAGCTGGCGCAGCCAGCTCCACAGACAGAGACGTGCCCGGTCTTCAGTAAAGATGTCAAAGATGTTCAGTTCTCCAGTCGGACAGTTTCAGCCTTTCGGAGATGGTCGTGGAGCAGGAACGGGACGCGGACGACCAGCATGGCCTTATGAACAGCATGTGCC